ATTCTGGTTAACAGTTAACCGACGTTTGTAAAAGTGGCCCTACTCTCTAAAAGTCAATCGGTGCATTGTCACTGAACAGTGCCATACTTACAACTGTGAATCAGTGATTATTCACTGTCTTCAGTGATGATCCACTGATGGACTTTTAGAAAGTAAGGCCTGGTTTTTCATTTTCTGGTTAACTGTTAACCAGAAGTTAGTCTCCTCTCTATCCTTTTCTATGTTATCTAAGAAGAGACAGGGTCGACTAACCTCTGGTTAACAATTGACCAGAAAATGAAAAATCGGACCTTAGTATCGGACCTTGGTAACACACGAAAATTTTAACATTTGAACATACGACTTTTTACTGTGTATTCTCATTAGTCTTGGATCAATAAAAACGCTAATATCTCGACTTGTCGACGCGCTAACTGAGTGGGCCATTGTATCTTACTTTACGTTGCGACATTAATGTAAACGGGGAGTTTCTAGGACCCAGGGAGTCCTAAGTAAATAAAATAACGAGGTGATCGATAAAGCTATCTGTCTACCTATCGAGGCACGGCAACGATAAAAAGTATCGCGACTCGACTTTCCGATACAATCGTTATCCTCCCCCCGATTCTATATTAAACAGCAACGCCGCAAGAAACTATTGCGCAACTCCAGCCGTTGTAAGTTTCGTTTATTTGCTCGTGGTTGTATTCCTTTGATAACTTCTGGGAGATTGTGGCAGGATTATTGAAAACATTTACGCTATCGTCGTGAGAAGCGTATCTTTTCTATCATTTATCATTAAATCTCGACGCGACGATTAATTGTAATTGCAATTATAATGAACAATAATTTTGCTAGATTCTATTTTACGCGAGCAAATCGAAACGCTTGAAACAATTGCCGACAATGTACGAGCGCACAATTTATCAATTTGCATGAATTTTTTAAACGTAAGTACTCTCTAAAAGTCAACCAGTGGATTATGAAAACAGTAAATATTCACTCGTGAATGTAGGAGCGTAAGAGGGTAAAGGAATTTGTAACCCCGAGGGGAACAATAAAGCTACATACAGCAAAGCCAACGGCGCACGATACTATTTTTCCTACTGGATTGCTTACGAGAGCCAATCAGGATTTAGCTTTGAGTCACCTGATCTAAAACTCTGCACCCTTATTGGTCTAAGCAATCCAGTAGGAGAAATGGTATCGTGTGCCGTTGACTT